GGTTTCATTGATGAAGTGCAAATCGATGAGACGTTAGCAGCTATTCCGAACGAAGCAGAGAGAAGCAACGAGGATGAGATAATGAAGATGACGTCGACAAAGCTTCCGAGAACGTGTTCGCTTGCTCATTTGCTAGAAATGGATTACATGGGACCCATCTCTCACATTTTAACACCATTCGATCTTTATAATCCTGATTGGAACGGCGTGAATGAGCCTGGATGGTTCGGAGATCTACAGATTAACCAAGACGAGATATTGAACCATCATCGTCAAACTACTATGTTCCAGTTTTAGTGGTGGATTAGCTAGAGGAATAAAATACGAAAAAATAGTGGAAAGAGATGTTGTTTCTTGGAAAGTTACTTTGGTATTTGAAAATTGTAAAATATTGATTAGTAAAAAGACCAATACGAATGGGAAACGAAAACATGTTTAGTTACAAAATTAAGCTGTTTCAGCATATTCGGAGTCATGGAGTTTATTTACATTATACTAACTAATAAACAAAAGCTTTTTGTATTATGCGATGTTTTAAAAAAAAGGTTGTTCGTTTCTCAGTTTAAAAAGGATAAAAAGAGAGATTGAGATTACGTTAGCTTGGAACGACAAAAGTCGATGACGTGTGGAGGAGCCTAGGCCAGATGCAATGCATTTGATTCGTACTTATCTTTTGTCGTTTATTTAGAAAACGAATGTTACTTGTCATCATCGTACTTTAAACCGCATATTTTCGGTCTGCGCAGACTCAAACCATAATGGATAGAAAAGGAACTTGTCACACATAAGAATAGAAAAACGTGGTCCTTCTGGCTGATTTTAATTGTTACCAAACTACGGTTTACGAAAACCAAAAGACGAAGATTCGTTTTAGAAAGTAACACATTAAAGAAGTGAACTATTTCCACAAAAGAAAGATTTTTAGCTCAGTAGTAGATTGCTCACAATGACGATGAGATATAAAAATTCTATATGAATCCTCGGTCGTTCTATTAACATTTCAAGGCGGCCGAGCAACAGTTTCGATGTGCAGTGGTGGCGTGTTCGGCCCATAAGGCCCAAATCAAGGCCCTTGTTAATAAAATGAGAGAATCATTTGGTGCGTTAAGCAGCTCAAATAGTAAACCAGACCGGATCCGACGTCGGAATTTCCTGACGGTTAACCGGCGTTCCTCATCCACCTTTCATACCAGGTAAATAGTTTCACTGATCTCTTGTTGATATTTTTTTTCTGTCTGATCATGCGCAGCTGCTCAATATGTGTCGACTATATGATTATGAACGATTGTTAATGAAAATTTTCCAAGTGTGATTTAGATTTGTATCAAGATCTTAGATATGTTTCCTTTTTGGGCAACAAGAGTGGACTTTTATTTCCTAATCAGTACTATGGTTTTGGTTCTGTACTGAGAATGAGATTAGTTGCTTGGAAGAACAACATGAAGTTACTGTATTAAAACAGAACTTGACATATACTTTATAAAGTTCAGTTATGGAAGGCGTTAAGGGAAAGGAGCTTGTTGATGATACTCCAGGCTGAAGAAAACGATATCAAAAAGGTTTCGGATGAAACGGATAATCAGAAACAGCCATCACATGAGTGTAAGGTAATCTTGTATTGTTTCTTGCAGCTCTCCTTGAGGGAGACCTTATAGTTTAATAGTTATGATCCTAAAGCCATTGTTGGGACTAGTGTAGGAAAATGCGATCAAGAAAAGGGTATGGAGGTTTGTTGCCAAAGTATGTTCTCGATGACCACTCTATTAAAAAGACAAATACTGTTCTCCTGCTAAATTATTAATCAATTCAATAAATCCTTGTAATAAGATTTCTCGTTCTTATGGCCCTACATCATCATATCTTGTATGGCATAAAAGTCTCCCTTTTCATTCTACACAAAGTTTTTTTTTTGTTTTTTTTAGAAACAAGAAAGACTTGACTTGAGAGTTGAGATCCAAAATCCTTTTCATGGCACTTCTCAATCCTTCGTCTTCCCCTCGCAATTGGATACACGATGTCTTTCCGAGCTTCCATGGGGCAGATGTCCGCACAACGTTTCTTAGTCACGTCCTCAAGGAGTTCAGAAGAAGAGGAATTGACACGTTCATCGATAATAACATCAAGAGGAGCAAATCTATCGGTCCCAAACTCATAGAAGCTATCAGAGGGTCGAGAGCATTCTAACAACTGGTTAGCCTTCTTGATTTACACTACCTTTTTTTGAAACTGCTTAGCATTCATGAAAATTTAATGGTCATTTTTGTTTTAGCGACTATTTTTGTAAGAATTTTAATATTTGTTCATAGCAATTTGGAGGCTTATGTTTAACTCTTAAAACTTAGACTAACCCGCCAATGTTTCACTTGCCTATGTCCTATGATTCATTTTGATTTGACTATGTTGCTAGGTGTAGTGAAGCGGAGATGATAGAAAAAATTGCGGCTGACATCTCAAACGTGGTGAATGATTCTGTTCCATCGAACTATTTTGAATCCTTAGTTGGGATTGGAGCTCACATGGAAAGGATGCGGTCTTTGTTAAGCCTAGAATGTGATGAAGTGAGAATGGTAGGGATTTGGGGTCCTGCTGGAATCGGTAAAACAACCATAGCAAGGGCTTTATATGAAAAGCTTTGTAGTAACTTCACTCACACTGCTTTCATGGAGAGTATAAAAGGAGGTTGTACAACACATTACCTCGACAACTATGCATACATGTTGCAGTTACAAGAACAGCTTTTGTCTAAGACATTCAGTCATAAGGAGTTGAAGATTGGTCACTTGGGAGTGGCACAAGAAAGGTTGAAAAACAAGAAAGTACTTGTTGTTCTTGATGATGTGGATCAGTTAGTTCAACTAAAAGCCATGGCAGACAAACCTGAGTGGTTTGGCCGTGGAAGTCGAATTATCATTACAACGCAAGATCTAAAACTCTTAAAGGCACATGGGATCGATCATATTTACAAGGTGGATTATCCAATTGATGAAGAGGCGCTTCAGATCTTCTGCACATTTGCTTTTGGTCAAAACTTCCCTGAGGATGGTTTTGAGGAGCTTGCACTGGAAGTTACAAACCTTTCTGGGAAACTCCCATTGGGATTAAGTATAATGGGGTCATACTTCCGGGGAATGTCCAAGCATGAGTGGGTCAGTGCACTACCAAGGTTAAGGAGTGGGCTTCATGACGATATTAAGAGTATTTTAAGGTTTAGTTACGACACCTTATGCGCTGAAGATAAAGAATTATTTCTTTACACTAGAAGATCATCTTGAGGGGACATTCTTGAACTTGAGCCATGGGCTTCACATCTTAACTGAAAGATCTCTAATATCTCGCAAGTATGGATTTATAAAGATGCATAATCTGCTAGTACAACTAGGTAGAGATATTGTTCGTAGCCAATCTGTTCATAAGCCTGGGAAACGTCAGTTTTTAGTTGATGCTAGAGAGATTTGCCAAGTTCTCGCTAATGAAACAGTAAGTTTTCACATTAGTCCTTGTTGAGTGTTTTCTTGTTCCCTGCAAACTAAATTTATTTTATGACTCTTATTTCATCCTGTCCTTTGCAGGGTAGTGAAAGTCTTGTGGGCATGGATCTTGACTTATCTGAGATCAACAAAGAATTTAATATAAGCAAAATAACCTTCAAAAGAATGTGTAATCTTCAGTTTTTAAGATTCTACAGAAGATTTGATGAAAAAGGTAACTGCAAAATACACTCTCCAAAAAATCTGAAATATCTATCTCCAAAACTTAGTTTAGTGCATTGGGATTACTTTCCGGCGACATGCTTGCCTTCTACGTTTATTACAGAGTTCCTAGTTGAACTAAGCATGCGTAACAGCAAGCTTAATAAGCTTTGGGAAGGAGTTCAAGTGAGTAATTATGTCTCCCTTTTTCTTTGTTGAATTATATACAGTTTGTTTTATTCAAGCTTGGTTGCATCTTGTCTGAGTAGATTCTTGTTAATGTTTTCACTGCTAAACCGCATGTGTCCTCATATGCTGTCTTTATTTGTGTGGGCAGCCTCTTCAAAATCTCAAGTGGGTTGATTTGAGTCATTCTTCAGACATGAAGGAGCTTCCTGATCTGTCAACTGCCACTAATCTCTTGAGTTTAGATCTCAGTTACTGCACAAGTTTAGTGGAACTACCCTTCTCAGTTGGGAGTGCAACGAATCTCTTGATATTGAATATCGAGTATTGCAGTAAGCTGGTGGAGATACCCTCCTCTGTTGAGAATATACCTAATGTCAAGATATTTTTAGCTGGGTGCTCAAGTTTGGTGAATCTTCCTTCTTGTATATGGAACATCACTAGTCTCAACACTTTTGATCTCAACAATTTCTCTAGTTTGGTCCACCACCCCTTAATATGGAATGCCAAGGATTTCCAAGTGTTAGATCTCAGTGGATGCTCAAGTCTGAAGAAGCTTCCCCCTATTGTAAATGACACTAGATTCAAGTTGGCAGAATTCTCATCCTCTATTGGGAGCAGCAAAAACCTTAAAGAATTGATTCTTAGTAATTGCTCAAATCTGGTGGAACTTCCTGTTTCTCTTAAGAATGTCACTAGTCTAGGGACATTGGATCTTAGTGGATGCTCAAGTCTGGTGGAGCTCCACCCCCTTAAGGATTCCGCTGGGCTCATGACGTTGAATGTCACTGGATGCTCAAGTCTGAAGCAGCTCCCCTTCTCTATTGAAATGCGTTGTATAGAGATAATGTTATGTAATTATCTTAGATAAGTTCTACTTATTCTTGTACTTATCTACCTATTCCTTGCACATATAGGATCTATCCTCTTGTATATATACTCGACGATGTTAATGAATACAGACACCTTTTCCCTAAATCTTTACATTGTTTCACGTTGTAAAATTTCTGGTTTCAGTTGAAAGGATGGTCAAAGCCTGAGGCTCTTCCATCCAAACGCAAGTTCCAATCTCTTGATCCCCCTGGAAGGACAAAAGCCATAAGGATCTTTAGTAGCGCGAAACGAATGGCTTTAACCTCAGGCGATAACATTGAAGGTGATGTGTGTGTTTTAGTTATAAGTTCACAACCTTGTTTTCTTGATGCCATTTGACATTTCAGTTTTAATAACCCATTTAATGCATCTCGTGTAAATCAGACACTGAGACTGTCAACAACGAACCTCTCGATGGCCAATCTCGTGCATCAGCTGTTGACAAAACCAACTTAAAGGATGATGGAGGAAACGATGCTGACGCAAAAGACAACATCAAATCGTGAACAAAAGAAACATTCAGAGATCTCTCGAGGAGCAAAACAAACAGTAATGATGTTTCCTTCTTTGACTTGTAATTTTTTGGGATGTTACAACCATTAAAATGAAGCTGAGAGAGTACGGACTCAAAGATGCATATGAGGTAGCACATGCCATTTGTTTTATCTTACTATCATGTAAGACTTTTAAACGTGAACGTGACACAATAGGTCTTATAGTGGGTTACTCTTGTTAGCCTACTCCTCTTTTCGTTGTTGTTTCCTTCTTGGTCTGATGTTCCTTATGTATGTAACTTTGTTCCCACCACCATTAAAGTAGAAATAGACCTAACTGTAATCTAATGGCATCCTTATACATAAGATCTTGACTGTGCAGAAGTTGGTTGCATCTGGAAGTTATTTCTTCATGATCTGAGTAACTTCTTGTCTCAGAAGAGGTATTGATAGTGTTAAGAGTTTGGTATATACATCAGGATGTTACAGGAGCACATCATAATCAGAGGCCGGAGTTCTATTAGGTGGTTTAACTCCTGGCTTTTAAACTCAGTGAGGCCGGTAGTCTTATTGGAAAGAAGTCTGTGTGCTTATGATCCGGATTTTGCATCCTTCTTTTGACTAATAATATTCCTCAATAGTCTCAATTTTTTTTATTCTTTCTCTGTTTCTTCTTTGGTAAAGATTTCAAGATTAAGGTGGTTTGATAAACTGATGGCAAAAGGTGAAAAGGTAAAATAGAGACCATGTCTCCGTCGATAACAAGACCTCATATCTTTGAAATAGCTTACGAGTAAAACTATATATCAGGTATCAGCTCGATTCAATTGCATACAAACAATGATTGGCGTGTGACGCTTTAGAGGGGTTTTGAACTCTGAGAAGATTATGACTGCTGAAGTTTTGTAACTGAATGTTGTTTCATCAAAGAAAAAGGAAATGCTAACTCTATGATAAGAATTTATAAGACACAAGTCACGAATGAAAAACACCAAACTGATGAATACTGTTGCACTGTAGTCTGCAGAGATGTGAGACCATCTATATAACGTATGGTTGAGCACAAGCTGATAACATTGAACTTAGATTATTTTGCATTACTGATATATACTTTGGGGCTTAAGTGTCTTACGTGGATGTTTACGCGCGAGCCAATCGCATGTGAGAGAATGTGGCGTTCGGAACAGACGAATATTTTACTCAAAAGATAACTTAATATTCAAGGCTGACTAGCTTTTGACGGGTGTATATTCTACCTAATTATATTTTTTTGTTAGTTGTAAAAACATTAAATTTACTGATTTATTGTTTATTGAGCTGTGACATTAGTGTATCTTATTCAGTTTGTTTATCGTATACTTTTATTCTAGGCGATTGTATTCATCTGTTATTGTATTTTTTTTTTATTTTACTTGGTACAGTAGAATTTTTGTGTGTGTTTATCATATGATACTATTAATGTTGTGATTAAAATTATATTTGAATTTATATTGTAACATTTTAAAAAAAAAATTAAATTATTTAGACAGTAACAATAAAAACTAATTGGAAAGTAACACAAATAACATTTAAAATAAGTAAAGATTTATAGCAATTACATTTAGCAAGTGCAAATACATTGAATTGGGCCTATTTGGTATAACTCGGAACTGTTACATCATATTTTATAAAAAAATAGTGGACTATTACGATCAAAATTGAGGCCCATATGTATTTTTCCGCGAGAAAAAAACAGAAACATGTATTACTTCGACGACTTTTTTCAACCGATATCTTTGTCAGTGGCGTCACTTTTTCTGGTGAGATCTTTGTAATCTCCTGTGAAGTTTTCACTCAAAGGATTACAGAATATATATCTATTGATTACTACAAATTGAACTTTATTTTTTATGATAAGTTGTTTTCTAATCTATATTATGTGTTAGAGCCCATCCCGGTTTAATCAAGAAGAAAAAACGTCTTGCATGTTACAGATTGTGGATCGAATCAGTATAAGCTCTTCTTTGTTCGCAGTTTGCAAGTACTAATTTCCAGGACTTCGTCTTGATGTCAGGTCTTTATTCTTTGCAAGACAATTCTAATAGTTCTGAATCCATCATAAATCAAAGTCTTTAGCTATATAGTATGATGGAATGAGTTCACAAATTGGCTTCATTGTTATAGTTCTGATTAATTATGAAGATCATAGACTATTGTCAATTAGAGATGTCGGATTGACATGATTGTCTCAGTTCTGTTTAATGCTATATTTAAAAATGATGTTGTGTCTGGCATGATGTACAAAGAAAAGAAACCAAAAGTTTTTATTTCAGAGTTTATTAGCTGATGATCCGAATGGCTTTGAGTCAACCCCTTAAACTAATCAAGGCAAATTCTTATACACACTAGCTGCATAACCCCGCGCAAGCGCGGGGCCGGGATCTGTGTTTTTTACGGTTGTTGGTTTAGTGGATTATTCTAATAATACCAAATAATGATGAAATGAAAAGAATGTAGCAAGAGTGCAAAATGAAAATATTGTATATATAATGTGTTAAATGTTATTTATATGCGAAATAAGTTATAGGAATAACTAAATTATAATATAGTTTTTAGTGTACAAAAATAAATGTCTATATTGTTTTTTTTATGTTGGAAATAGTTTTTATATCGGATGTCAAAACTTGATATACATATTTATTTATAGTATTTATATTTGTACTAAACGATTTATCAATTTGAAAATAACTTTAATTTAAGCTAATATTTGTTGTTTGGGTTTCAATAGATAGGTTTGGATATGTTTTTTTTGTAAGTTTGGATTTTGTTCATGAATAATGTGGTATTTTTCTTTACGGCGTCATGGACTGTGGAAATCCATCCGCCGGAGTCTAATAAAAATGAAATTATAGTAACTATTAAAAATTGAAGAGAAATTACATAGTTATTTTATAAATAACAAAACTATTTTTTTATTTTATTTCACATACATAATATTTTGAAAATATATATTAGGAAATATGTTCTAACAATAAAAATATATATTAGGACATGATAGTGCCGCGTGAGACTCGTTTTTTTTTTCTTTTTTTTTATGTTCGTTTTTTGATCTATTTTTAATTGTTTTTGGGTTTGAGTTCGTCAAACTTTAGGATTTTCCACTATTTTGGGCTTTAAACAATAATTTCAGAGCAAAAAAAAACATTAAAACTAAAAAGCCCATATGATAATAATCCAAACGGAAAAACTAAAATACATAACAGCTGCGTGGTTTGAACCCACACACTTACAGACTTAATTAGATGCCTTATACCACTTTGCAAAAGTGTATTCATTGTTCATAGTCATTTTAAAAAAAAACTATAAACTCTTAAAATTTAAATACGTGGGGCCCACTCGGCTGCTGACGTGGATAGCTTTAGGAGCTTCAAAAGTGAATCATTGGAAATATGTTCTAACAGTAAAAATATATATTAGGACATGATAGTGCTGCGTGAGACTCGTTTTTTTTTTCTTTTTTTGGGATGTTCGTTTTTTGATCTATTTTTAATTGTTTTTGGGTTTGAGTTCGTCAAAATTTAGGATTTTTCCACTATTTTGGACTTTAAACAATAAGTCCAGAGGAAAAAAAACATTAAAACATTAAAACTAAAAAGCCCATATGATAATAATCCAAACGAAAAAACTAAAATACAAAACAGCTTCATGGTTTGAACCCACACACTTGGAGACTTAATTAGATGCCTTTTACCACTTTGCTAAAGTGTATTCATTGTTCATAGTCATTTTTAAAAAACTATAAGCTTTTAAAATTTAAATAAGTGGGGCCCACTCGACTGCTGACGTGGATAGCCTTAGGAGCTTCAAAAGTGAATCATTATTATATAGATTTTCTTCTAAACCGGGTTTATGTTATGCATGTCTGTGTAATCTTAGAGATTTGTTAAGATTAGTTTTCTAAAATCAGTTCGTTTACATAGATCGGGCCAATTAACGTTTGATATTCAAGCTCATGTGACCCTTGCTGTGTTATTATTAACCTTGTGCTTTATATTTTACAAATTCCATTGAAGCTTAACTCCTGCTGTAACCAAGCAACAGTAACCCTATTAGTCACTCTAGTAGGAAGCGCAATTAATATTGATCAAATGATGTCTTTAGATTGGCTTATGACTGATTATTTTTAAGTATTTCATTGGGTTTACTTTAATTATTGTCTTAGAGTTAACATAAGTATGTGAGTTTTAGTAAAATTTCTCATGTTTGAATAATCTGTTACCATTATTCTATTTAGTTTTCATTGGTTACTTGCATATTGGAATACTTAATAAATATATATCCTTCTTTTATGGTTTAATGTTCTGTTAATTGTTATACAAAACATATTTCAGGGATGATTATGTTTTAAAGTATGACAGATGAATGTCTATGATTTACCACGATATTTTTTTGCATGAAATTGTATTGTGGTAGAAGTGACATCAATTTCTTGGAGGCTACCCCGATGAAGTATATACTTGGCAAATATCAGGACCAAAAGATGGTTAGTA